CCACCTGAACGCCATAATAGGGACCAGTTATGAGTCGGCCGTAAGTGAGGCCCGACTAGTGGACAGACGTGTGAGGCATGAGTTAGACAGTGGACTACCCCTTACCGGACAGTCCATACGGGAACAGCCATTACTGGGCATACCGTTCACCGCAAAAGACTCCTTCTCAGTAAAAGGTATGCCCTGGACGTCAGGTTTGTATGCAAGGAAAGGGATCACCGCTCCGGTAGACAGCGAAGTGATTACGAGGTTACGAGATGCCGGTGCCATATTCATAGGTCTGACTAACGTACCGGAGCTCATCATGTGGTGGCACTCGACTAATATACTGTACGGTCGGACAAACAACCCGTACGACAGGAGTCGCATACCAGGGGGTAGTTCGGGGGGCGAGTGTGCGCTCATAGCCTCCGGTGGTTCCCTCATGGGGGTAGGCAAGCCATCAGTTAATTGTTTTGAAAAGTTTTGAGTAATTTTTGGCTTTTTGTGAATAGATTGGGTCAGACATCGGGGGTTCAATCCGTGAGCCCTCATATTTTTGTGGTATATTTGGTCATAAGACCACTAATGGTGTTGTATCTACCATGGGCATTTATCCCATGTTTGGTGAATCAAAACAAAGGTTACTAGCTGTTGGTCCGTAAGTACATTTTATAATATTCTTAATCTCTATATATTCCACCAAGCTTATAATTACATAGATTATTAAATATATGATATTAGTAAAAAGATCTTAATTTCGAAATTGTAATAAAATAAATAACGCTAAATATTTAATATAATTTAGATTGTCTGTCCGTCTCCATTAATAACCAAGATAAATGAATTTTTATAAGACAATAAAGTCATTACATTATAGTTACAGTTTTTATACTGTAAATTCTTATCCATGTAAAATGTTTAATTAAATAATATATAAATAATATTAGATATATAATATTAAATAATAAAATATTATTTTTTTAAATTAAATTACTTATACGGCAACGCGTGTCTGTCCAATAATTTAACAAAACCTGTGACTGAATGATATTATTTATTCAATTGGTTTTCTGTTACAGTTTCTGCAGATATGCTGTGGATTTGAAACCAATGCTGAAAGTGATGTCCGGAAGTAATGCATCGAAACTCAAATTTGACAAAACGGTTGACTTGAATACCATTAAAGTGTATTACATGGAGGGACACAATAACCCTGGTATAAGTCCACTACAACCGGAAGTCAGGCACTCGTTAAACCAATGCGTCGACTATTTACGTAATAAATGCCGAGACTGTGAGCGCATATACCTTAAGGAACTGGAGCTCGGCTTTGATATATGGATGTGCGCTATGACTGACCCGACGGCGCCTACACTCGAGCAGGAATTGGCAAACTTGAAGGGACGGATCAATCCATATGTTGAATTAGTGAAGTCCCTGTTAGGTGTGTCTAACATAACCTTCCCGTCGATTATCAGTTGTTTCGATGACTTGATTACTGGTCTATCGAGTGAACAGTATTTCAAATTCTTAAAGAAATTAAGGCTAGAGTTAAGCGAAAAGTTGCACAAAATTTTGGGTAAAGTCTCTAACGTTTGCAAATTTTTTGCAATTAATTAAAAACTAATATTTTATTTAATTAGGAGATGATGGTGTGTTTGTATACCCGGGTCATCCGGAAACAGGTATATTGTAACTAATATTTTATAATTAATTTTTAAAAATGTTTGTATACTATAAGCGCCTAAACATAACGGAACGGTACTTAAGGTGAAGAACATATCGTACACCTGTGTGTTCAACACACTGGATGTGGCCATCACTTCAGTGCCGTTAGGGCTGTCCACTGATGGCCTACCCATCGGTGTGCAGATCATTACCAACCCATTCAACGATCACTTGAGTATAGCCGTGGCCGAGGAACTGGAGCGTGGGTTCGGTGGTTGGACTCCACCCGCGGCTATTATTTGTTAGTCATGTCGTTATAAAAGTTATCTAGCACATAAATATCCAAATTTATTTTTAAATCTTAATTTATCATATGGGAAATTGATGATATAATTACAATTAATTGTAGCTATCATTAAATAAAAATACGCTATTTTTAATTGATTGTACCTTGTTTACATGCTGGCAGTTTATGTGTACTTATAGTATAATTATTATAATATTGATTAAAATCAAACAAATAAACCTATTATGACATGTAATAAGCGATTAATAAAAATTTTAATGTTTTTATTATGAGATTTATTAGCGATATATTAGGAAACAACAGTATTTGTTAAGTTATTTATCAGATTTTAATTGTTTTCATATTTAATTATAATTATAAAGTGACTTAATATATTGAAATAATTTTTACATTAATAAGTTGCACGAATGATCTCATAATATATTTAACATTAAGTTCATAGTATTGAATACTTACAATATTTATAATTAATCTAACATTTTCAAATAAAATTTCTATTAAAAATTATTGTATATTTGATTTAATGAGATTCAATCTTTATAAATAGCAAAGATTTTTAATTTTAAGGTTTGGTTTGATCTAAACCGGTGCTACCGTATATCTACCCACCTGGTGAATCTAATTTAGGTGATCCCACTAGTAATCAGTCATTGTTTATTATACAAAAAGGATCAGGTAATAACTAATAACAATTAATTTCATTTTATATGAGTTACGACAAGTGAGTTCCAAAAGTTAGTAACATGTACAATTACTAATGTGAAAAGAATTTTATAACTTAAATTTACAAATTAACTTGTAACTTACAAAAAATTAAAAATTAGGTTTGTACCCGGTAATCAGTGAATTCGTACCGTATTTATCATTTTCTAATTTTCATAACATTACAAAATGTGTACACATTAATGTTTATATAAATATTATTAATGATACATATCTACAGTATTTTAGAGTATTTGCAAATTTGAGCAACAAATATTGTGCTCAGGGTGCATTTGGTAAATGTAACATCATGCTAATGTTAGGAAATTTCCAGTTTTTGAAGACATTAAATACGAGGTAATATTTTTTTAAGCATTTATAAATTAAGTAACAATTACATTGTTTAACAAATTGTAACTAGGACATTGATATTGCACTCAATGCAATGGTAATAGAGGAAAGCCTGTTTTATACAGTAAAAATAAGTTTGAAACATTTTACATAATAAAGCTACCACATCTTTTTACATAATCTATTATATAGATACCATTTTTAAAGTCTAATGGTTTGGTTTGACATAAACCGGTGCCACACCTACCCTACAGGTGACACCTATTTAGGTGATCCCACTAGCAATCAATCGTTAATTATTATACGAAGGAATGAATTATGAATTATTTTTTAAAATATATTTTTATATAAAATAATAATAAGCTTTATCATATTAAAATTTATGACAAAAGTTTATTTTACATAAAAAGTATCTTTATAAAAATAATGTTTCAGCAAATTTGCGAATTCGAGCAACAAATATTACGATCAATTGCCCAGGGTACGTTTGCAAAGTTTAACATTACGCTAAAGGTGGGATTGGGCTATAATGTTTATAAAAACTTTAAAACCAGGTAAATGTTTATATTATAAAGTAATTAACGTTTTAGTATAATTAACCAAAATCTAACCTAGGACATTGATTTTGGGCTCGAAATAAAGACAATAGATTATGATATATTTAAGATAGCAAACACTCAATGGTTCAGGGACGAGTACAACATGGTGTTGATTAGTGGCAAATTTATACAAAGACCTAATATATTTAATATGCTTAATGTATTCTCAAAGGTTACCTGGCTATTAATTTTATTGTCTGTATTATGCATTACTGCATACGGTTATTATTCACAAAAACTTCGTAATTTTATTAATATTATTGTCACTTATACAATCTTATATCATGTATATTTAATAATTAATGCACATTTATTACAGGTAATCATAAACGTGTAAATATTGTGAAAATATTTTTCGATACAATCAGACATTTAGTGAGTGAGCCGTTGGATAATATGACAAAACTAGACCTATTCACTAGTTTGTGGTCATTTATGGCACTGGTATTGTTGCAGTGTTTTTGCAGTGGAATATTGTTATCAATGGTTCGCCAGGACTGGCAATATATCCGTTCAATGGATGACCTGGTTAAATCAGAAATGACTGTAATTGTTTCCAACGATTCATATCTATGGTACGAATTTAGGCGCAAATTTACAGATAATGTGGACATCGATCCAACATTGCAAAAATTATACGATATGAACAGGGTCAAATTTGTTGCAGAACCTGATATAGCATACACCAAGGTCTGTAAAATTTATAAACAAAATATCCGTTAAATATTAAATGATTTTTTAGAGATTATTCAAAGAATATGTTGAAAACGGTCGTATGGTTTACATGAGGGACGGGTGGAGTGTAATGAACAAGAAATTAACAAATTTAGAGATGAAGTTAGAAATTGCTGATCAGATGTATTTGCCCGCACTTTATGGGCACCCCATCAATAAGTGCAAGGATTGGCTAAAATGTGGTCAACACATACCTAAAAGACAAATTCTGTTCAAAATGTTAGTTTTTGGGCATATTTTGCATTTTATACAATATTCTAATTATATCTCATAATTATGAATAGAATCCAAATTTTGGTCGAATCGGGAATTAATAATAATTGCATTGAGAGATCGAAATATAGCATAACTTTATGGGGATTCCGGGCGTTGGAGAAAGTTATCAATAAAATCGATCCCAAGTCTAAAGAATACAAGAATTTCTTTATTAATGATATAAATAGCGGACAAAACAGTGAAACTGAAAGCGATAAGACTATTGAATTAAATTTTATTACAGATTTGTTTGTAGTGTTTATAGCATTCATCGTATTTATTATATTTATATTTTTAATTGAATTAATTAGCAGATTTGTTGGTAAGTATTAATGATTATTAAACATTGAATATAAGTTTTTTAATTAGCTATTATAAAACAAAATGCTAACTTATTATTGAAATAAATATAAGTTTTCATTTTAAACAAATAGATAAAAAAAATATTTTTTTTAAAGTAATTAATTTTTAAAAATTAAAAAACTACGTTAATAAAAATTATTTGTATACAATTTTAATCATTAAAATCTAATTTACCAGGAATAAAATTGTGCTAATTACATTATTTTTTACTTAAGAATAAGTATTATTAATTGTTATTTTTATAATAATTATTAAAGCGTTTTTATTTATAACAAGTTGATAAAAAATTGTTTATAAAAAACTTTATGTTAATAAAAATTATTTGTATAAAATCTTTTCTATTATGTTTTAGTATCTTATTATCATAAAATTATATCATAAATTTATTTTATTTTATTTATAGTACTGTATAATAATATTGATTAAATAAATTAAACATAATTTTATGATTAAGTTATGATGTTAGTTTTGAAAATTTTTATCATATCTTCATGATAAAATTATGTTTAATTTATTTAATCAATATTATTATACTCGATATCTGATTATACTCTCTATATATCATAAGAAAGTGAGACAGCTCATTAAATATGAGTTAAATAAAGCGATGCAAAGAAGTCGGTACCAAGCCTACCTGCCTGGCATAACCTATCCGGGTTCTCCTAATAGTAATCAATCGTTGATTATTACACACAGGAGTGGGGTATTACTTAATATAAATTCACAATTTTAAAAATTAATTCACGCATCTTAAAAAATTATTTATTAATTTATTACTGTTAGATTTTCATTGTGATTTATTACTTTATTAAAGTCAAACTTTTATTTTATTATTAATAATGTTTAAATAAATACACGACCGCCCGAAAGACAAACAGTTAGTTGATTGCATGGCGTCTCAAAATAACAATAAAATTAAATCAAATATATATCTAAACGTATTTTTAGAGTATTTGCGAATTTGAGTGACAAATATTGTGTGAATAGCATTATGTTCATGATTTGAAGTAAGTTTTGAGTTTTTGAAAATATTAAATTTTTGAAAATTAATTTATAAATTAAGTAACAATAATTATGCAGTTTAACAAATTGTAACTAGGACATAAATTTTGAACTCTATGCAATGGTATTAAAGGAAAGCCTGTTTTATACAGTAAAAATAACTCTGTAACATTTCACATAATAAAACTACTTTATATTTATATAGATACAATTTTTAAAAGTCTAATGGTTTGGTTTGACATAAACCGGTGCCACACCTACTCTACTGGTGATACCTATTTAGGTGATCCCACAAGTAATCAATCGTTAATAATTATACGAAAGGACCCGGTAAGGGTTATTTTTAAAAATAGATTTTTATATTAAATAATATTAAGCTAATTTATCATATTGAATTAATGAAAACAAAAATTATTTTACATAAAAAGTATCTTTATAAAAATAATGTTTCAGAAAATATGCGAATTCGAGCAACAAATATTACAATCAATTGCCCAGGGTAGGTTTGCAAAGTTTAACATCACGTTAAAGGTTGTATGGGACTATAATGTTTATGAAAATTTTAAAACCCAGGTAAGTGTCTATATTACACAATAATTAATGTTTCAGTGTAATTAACTAAAATATAACCTAGGACACTGATTTTGGACTAAACATAGTGACAATAGAGGAAAGTATATTACGGATAGCAAATTTACAATGGTCCAAGGACGAGTACAACATGGTGTTGCTTGGTGGCAAATACATTCAAAGTCCAAACCTGCTAAAAATGATGAACACCTACACTTTAGTTACCTGGCTGCTACTTTTTCTAGTTATATTATCCATTGCAATACTTGAATATTATTCGCAAAATCTTCAAAAATATTTTTCAATTACCAGTAAATCAATATATATTATAAGATGATGCTTGCTATTAATTTTACTTTTAAAATTTAATCTAGGTAGTAATCAAAGTTTGGATTTTATAAAAGTATTTTTTGACACATTCAGACACTTAGTGAATGAGACATTGAATAACAAAAGTACAAAACCAGACCCTCTGACCACTCTATGGTCATCGACGGCACTGGTATTGTCGCAGTGTTTTTGTGCCGGAATACTAGCATCGGTTGTGAACCAAGATTGGAGATATATTAATTCACTGGATCAATTACTTGAGTCTAACATGAGTTTAATTGTCCCTAATGGTTCAATGCCATGGTACGAATATAATCGTAAATTTGCATATAATTTGGACATCGATCCAAAACTGCAAAAATTATACGATATGAAAAGGGTCAAATTTATAGATGATAATGATAAGGCATACATGAAGGTCTGTAAAATTTAAAAACAAAACTTCCGTTAACTAAAAAATTAATTTTTTAGACATTATTCAAAAGATACGTTGAAAAGCGCCGTATGGTCTACACGAGGGACGGGTGGAGTGTAATGATGAAGAAATTAACAAATTTAGAGTTTAAGTTAGAAATTGGTGACGAAAAGTATATGCCCGCATATTTTGGTCACCCCATCAATAAGTGCCAAAATTGGGGTAAATGTGGGGATCGCGTGGATAGGAGGCAAAAACTGTTCAAAATGTTAGTATTTCCTGATATTTTTTAGTAATTTCTAACTAGTATAAACTAAAATATAAACTAATATAAAGTAAGTTATATAAACCTAATTTGTGTTGTAGCCCCTGAAAGCGTTGTATCATTTGTCTAAGAAGCTATACATTGAATGCAATACAAATAAAACAAATCTTTCAGGAGCTATAACACATATCATGTTAACAAAGTTTTCTAAACTAATAAAAAATTAACAATCTAATAAATGTGAACAGAATTCAAATTCTTGTGGAATCGGGAGTTAATAATAATTGCGTTCAGAGATCGAAATATAACTTAATTTTTTGGGGATTCAGTGAATTGAAGGAAGTTATGAATAAAATGGATCACAAGTCTAAGGAATACAAGAATTTCTTCATTAATAATATAAACAGCGGACAAAACAGTGAAACTGAAAGCCTTAAGGATATTGAATTGGGTTTCATAAAAGACATGTTTGTAGTGATGAGTGTATTCTTTGGGTTTATTACCTTGGTATTTGTGTTTGAAATAATTGTTTGTTTTTATGTTATTCCAAAAACCATCAACACTTAAATACTCCTTATACAGAATTAAACAATTATTATTATAATGTTACTTGATTAAATACCGACAGTAAATATTCTAGTAATTTTACTTATAGTAAAGCATACTTGTATTAAATTGTAAAATTTATCTAAGTTATTGTTTTGTGTTTAACTAAATCGTTTATTGTCTAAATAATGAATAAATAATATCGTATACTTTATAATTGCAATAAGGAATTGAAAAAATTATTTTTAATCCCTTTATAAGCACTGAGCTTGCCCTAAAATATACCAGATAAGATAATTAACTAACTGTTTGTATTATTGTAAACAAAAATTATAATAAAATAAATTAAAAAACATGTTAAACGACTTTATTAAATCAAAACTTTGGTATATTTTTCGGTTAATCACTGATTTTATTGCGGTTTTAATTGGACTCCGATTTCCAACACAACAGCAATACTTACCTCCCATTACAGACCCACTACTTTTGGAACCGGCTGTTGTGTTAAGTGATCAAATAAAAAGTGGCAAGGTCAGTCTATTACAGAATTAAACCCATCCATGTTCATTTAATTGTAATTTAAAAGTAAAGCTTAAATGCGAGACATTAGTGAAGGTATACATCCGGCGCTGCATTGAAGTCCAGCCCCACCTGAACGCCATAATAGGGACCAGTTATGAGTCGGCCGTAAGTGAGGCCCGACTA